TTTTATTGCTACGTATTGCTTTTTGAAGAAATATAAAAAAAAAATTAGGGAACGTGCTGGGCATGCCCAGCACATTCCTTTGTCAACATCACAGGAGCCACAGTAGATGCGGTCTGTGTGCAATTCTCTAGTCACTCCCGTGGACTAGATCCTCACACCCCACACTGGCCGACGACTGTGGCTTGGGTTATTAAGAATTTAATATCAACGTACCCTGAGAGAACCTCATTACTCTGCTTCAGCTTTCAATCTCTACATGTTTCGATATTTGTTCTTATCTCATTTGATTGGTCCAGCAATATGGCAAGAACCAACTGACCTCCGTTGGCGGCAGCCTGCGATCGTGCACACGGTTCGGGTTTATTTTTTTATTTATTCATTTGATATTTAGGAAGTATGCAAAATGTTCATGTTTAACTTATTGACTTATTTATTCGCTCATTAATTGATTAATTAATTAACGAATTTATTCATTTCCTTATTTATCTCTATTGGTTCTGCCATGATACTTGGTAGCGTTTTTATCATTTTGCATTTCGCCATTCTTTCATTATTACATTCTTTCTTTCAAGATACATTTTCTCACGCACAAACACCTGTTAAAGGCTCCACATCAAGGCAGAGCCTCGATTGTGGACATGTAAGAAGGTAGTGGTGATGGTGGTTCTTAGCCCCTGTCTCGTTACAATAAGGGCAGAGTTACCAGGTATACCCACAAGGAGGGGTCTACCTTTATACCCTATTGTACAGACAAATCCTTGTTCCCCCGTCCGAAGGACGGAAATTGAGTACCTCGCCTACTAGGGCATAACTCTGGGAAATTATAACTCTATTCTTTTCGTGATGGCGTTTTCCAGGATGCGTATACCTGCACCTTGAAGCAGGCACAGAGATACAGGTAACAAGCCCGAGGCCTTACGACATACCACTACGAGTCCGACCTCAATCGGCCAGTTGTACTTAGTCCTACATGTCATATTTTGACTTTGCAGCCCCAGGCACAGGGCTTGAAATTCAGCCTCCCGTAGCACCAACTTTATCCGCTTTGGTCGGCGGTCGCCAATGCGTCTCGCGCTCGGCGCATTTGGAGTTTCCATATTCAGACCAGTAAATGACAATAGTAATAAGCTGTGTAATGTTGATATTTTCATGGTGAAATGTCGAGATGTTTCGTATTATTAATGTCTATGAACCGATGAACATCTGAATTTAGTCCACAAAATTATGAATAGAAAATAAATTCAGAGAGAACTTCCAACTTCCCTCTTAGATGTACGTTACATAGCACTATACAGTTAGCGCTATGGGTGAGATCTCTGGCTTACTCCAATTATGAAGCTATGAAATTATCGGATAAAAGTGCCAAGTGGGTCATTTTTAGTAGGCAAAACTGGCGCTGTGGGATTAACCAAACGCTAAGTTAAGGAGCCTAAATTGACGCTTATAGAACACCATGAAAGACGTTGGTTGCTTAAGACAGCAGGACGGTGACCTAGAAGTCAGAATCTGTCAAAGAGTGTGTAACAGCTCACTTGTCGAAGTAACTAGCCCGGAAAATGGATGGCGCTGAAGCGTCATGTCTATACTTCGCCGTCAGTCGTATCTTTAATGTATTTCGATACATTATAAAACTCTGACGAGTAGGAGAGTCCAAAAAAATTGTATTTTTTGGTTATTTGTAAACTTAAGTGTATGTATGATTTGAAATCTAATGTCCTTTTTTTGATGTGACATGATAGACTTCAAATCATTTATTTGAGAGTCGGATTTTATAAAAAAAAAAAGTCGGAATTTTTTCGGATAATTGACTTCATAAAATGTGACCATTCAACCTGATTATTAATTGAACATTAAATTTATGATTAAACACCGAAATGATTAGTTTTTAAGAAATCTATCCATTGTATAGAATCACGTTATTAATTAATTTAGATCATTTTGGCCTGTTTTGGAATTTTTTACAGAACAGAATAATTTGTTTTATTTATTTTCAAGCAGGCAATATTGGTATTCAGGCTGAATAATTACTTGATTTATCTTTATAATTTTAAATGATTATTAATTTGATTTTCATATTTTCAAATTAGGAATTTAATTTTAGATTTTCATGTTTATTTATTTCAGCCTGATCCAATACTTTACTCAACTAATAGGAATTGCCAGGTGGCAATTTTCGGAAGATCGGGAGAAGTGTAAAATATTTGTATGTCGCCATCTAATGACTATTAGACTAACGACAGTTTGTTCGTTAACGTAGTATGCATTTCTCTTTATTAGTTTCTACATATTATAGTTATATCTATTTTTATTCTTTGACATGAGCATGTGTATATGTCTGTCTCACTCATATGATTCATTTCTTTCACTCTTGCATCAAAAAAAGTACTTGGTAATACACTCGGTGCGCGTAGCACTCGTGAATATGCAAACGCGTTTGTGCGCTACTCGAAAGTGCACGAGTAGCTATACATATCCAGAAAAATTGATCATTAAGTAGCAGTCTATCTGTTAGTAAGGCCTGTCTCAAGGCGTCTAAGTGCAAAAAACCGTAGCCGCACAGCTCTGAAACTTGTTGGCTCCACCACGCGGTGCCCCACAATTCGCTCTCGAGCGTCATTGCACATGGACCTGGCAGCTTACTCTCTGCAAGGCTTGTTATCTTCGAAAATGCGAGATGGTGCGTCGATGTCTTTTTGAAATAGTCTTAGGATCTTTAAGCTAGCTCATAGCAGGCGAAAGGCGCATGCGCAAAAATAAAGTACAGGATCTAAAAATTCATAATTATGACAATAGCAATAGCAATTATAGTAATTGAAGAGCAATTAATAAACCCCGACCATGCAATTTTTATTCTTGTGCTGTGCTACAAAGGTCTCCACTACTCATGAGTAAGCTCCAGTGGACGCAAATTCATCCGCACTTTAGTAGGGATATGAGTAGGGTTCACCAAAGTGTTCCATTCTACTCATATTTTCTCATAGTATTCAATTAATGGTCTATGATATCATTGTCAGTATAGGCTTTATGTTATGTTCATTCAAATTTCAGTATATCCTTCTATTTCAATTGCGTTTGAGATTTATGATTTGATAATTTTTCCGCATTTGATCGAGTACTTTGCTTTCCATAGAAATATGATCTTATTTTCTGTTCTAGGAATATAAAAAGGTATCTCATAATCTACGTTGTGCCTTGAAGTTACTTGCTATATTACTTGGATCGACTTCGCGTAATGATTTCCGGCTTAAATCAGCAATAGAATGTGAAATGGAGTTAAGTTCTGAAATTGTAAGTTCAATAGATTTTCATTAATGAAAAAAATTTTGTTCTATATAATACGGTAACCAGATACTTTTATCATACATAAATTGTAAGGATGAAATGTACAAGAGCCTATTTATATTATCTTTCTTGTTATGTTACTCTTTATCTCGAGAGAGATAAACTAACCGAGCCTACGAAGTAGTAAATATAGGGGGTTCTATTTCAGTCTGCAATACCAACGGGGCAGATTTGATTCATATGATCGATAACTTACGGACTGTATTACCGACCGCGAGTATTGCTTTTTTTACCGACTGTGGTGTGCTGATAACTTACCGGCCGTTGATATTATTGTGGCTGTCAGATGACGCTGTGCCTACCTACAATCGGTAATTTTGTTGTTTTTTTTCGCAAAGTCATGCTGTCCTTCTCTGCAGCCTGTAATTTTACCGATTCTCCTTGCTAGTTAAATCTATAGCGATCGGCAGCCAAAATCATTAATATTATAACTAATGATGTATTTCCATAACTAATTTTATTCAAAGTAATATCAATATAAATAATCGAATAATAATTAAATCATTAGATAATTTTGTACTAAGCCACTAATATGATTAACCCTCAAAGGACGCACTCTCGCTGCTTTACGATTTGGCTGCACGGGGCTAGTCATACCCAGTAATCTTTACTGAGACGTTACATGGCTTACAATTGAAAGAAAATTTTTTTTTCCATTTTATTTGTCTTACGATGTAAAAAACGATGATATAACTCAAAATATCAATAAAATTAAAATTTAACAAAGATATGAAGCGATAAAAAAAAACGAATGAAAAAAAAATCCTCTTTTCTTTTTTAATTCTCATTTCTTTGTTGAAAAATGATAAAAGGGTTTTATCAATGCCATTTTAAAGGAAATCGAATATATTTTAAAGTCAAATACATAAATTATTGATTATTTAAAAAAAAATATTTGTTTTTACTAATAAAGTTAGGTTTATTTTATATGGAAATTAAATTATAGTTATAATTTGAGTATTGAACAAATAGGCATGATAATTGTTACAAAAATTATTTATTCCATATTTTTTACTGAACAGTCCATACTAATTCGTGCAGTATGTTCTTAACGCATAGGATTTGTACATAGTAAACATTTATAAAATGTTTTTCGGTCTAAAACACTTGGACAATAACTGCATCGCTTTTGTTTAAGCATTTTATTTCCTGCTTGCAAATCTAAAGTAGTTTCATTCTCAGAATCTACAGTTGAATTATCTCCAGACAAATTTCGAAAACTATCTATTTCTTTAAGAAGAAATCTGCGCAGAGTTGGTTGAGCTAATATCATTTTTAAAAACGGTTGAATTAAAGATATGCATAATTCTAAAATATAATCATTCCGATGCATTGGTTTATTGTGATCAAGTAAGTTATAAATAATGAACGAATTGACATTTGTTTGATCTAGCATGCCGTAAAATATGCGTAATGGCCATCTGCGCGTTTTCCGGGCCGTCGTGAAATCGTGACACGTTTTATCAAAGGTATCAGTTCCACCTTTCGTTTGATTATAAAATAATACAATGTCTGGCTTTCCAGTTTTTCGGTTTATACGAGCTGTAGAATGATAAGAAGATAAAGGCAAGACTATTTTTTTACCTTTTGTATTATAAGAAACCAAAATTTTATTTTCATCATAAGCGGATCTCACTTTTTGCGATTTTTTTTTAAATATGAATGAAGAAATAAGACAAATTGTTGAAGAACTTGATCGGCCAGTGAGAAGAAATAATCAACGACATGTGGATATACGAGGTCTAGATGAGACTTGGCAAGCTGATCTTGTTGATACGTCAGCATATAAATCTTATAATAAAGGATATCAATATTTATTAACAGTTATTGACATTTTCTCTAAATATGCTTGGGCTATACCAACTAAATCTAAGAGTGGTAAAGATGTCACTGAAGCAATGATGGTCATTTTAAATGAAACAAAAGTTCCTAAACGTTTACATGTTAATAGAGGAAAAGAGTTCTATAATAAGGATTTTGAAGGACTTATGAAACAGCATCACAGCAAAATGTACTTAACATTTAGTAATCTGAAAGCATCAATTTGTGAAAGATTTAATCGAACTCTGAAGGCAAAATGTGGAAGAAATTCACTTTACATGGAAATTATATATGGATTAATCTTTTACCTAAATTATTAACATCATTTAATAATAGTAAACATCGTACCATTAAAATGAAGCCTGTCGATGTGTCTTTAGCTAATGAAAAAAAATTGTTTGATAGTATTTATAAGAAGTTGAAAGTTGTAAAGATGAAGAAGAAAAATAAGTTCAGAGTTGGTGATAAAGTTCGCATTAGCAAATATAAACATATATTCGAAAAGGGTCACACTCCCAACTGGACCACTGATATCTTCACTGTCAGTGAAGTGACAAATACACACCTAGTAACTCATAAATTAACAGATTATCCGAATCAATCGATAGAAAGGGGTTTTTATGAAAAAGAATTAACAACAGTCTTATATCCCGATGTATATTTAGTTGAAAAGTACTAAAAAAAATGTGAGAAACAAGCATATGTTAAGTGGCTAGGATGCAGTAATGAACATAATAGTTGGATTAATATAAATGATTTATAATACTGTTTATTAATGTAAGAATGAAAACAAAAGAAATTTATTGATTGATTGATGTTTTGTTCATATTTGACACTATTTATAAGAATATGTTTACATTATTTATTTTGCGAAAACCTATGACGTAATGTTGTTTTATTTAGATAAGGCTCATGAAATGACGCAGTATAATTCTTTATTAGTTTTAGGATCTTTAAATTAGGTTCAATTGCAATTGAGATTTGTGCCAGAAAGATTCAAGTGAAATTACTCTTCATATATAAATTTGAATTGTGTTTTAAATCATTTTTTTTCGTATTTTTATATGTTGAAATTACAATAATTAAATTAAAAAAATGAAGAAATCAGGAAAAATTGATAAACAGTTAAAACGTGCGGAAAAAATGGCTGATAAAATGTTTTCTGATTTTCAAAAATTGTCATGTTATACGGAAACTTAAGCAGGTAATATTAAATGGATTCCATTAACTAAAGATGAATAACAAAAAATTAATGAAGAAAAAAATTAATCGAACATCTTGGTATGATTAATGAGCGAATGTTAAACGGAATTCGGAAAAACAAATAATACTTCGTCATAAAATGACTGGATAAGTTCAATAAATATATGATTTATTTAGAAAAATTGTAACTTACAATAATAAGAAGTTCAGAAAAACTTTATAATTTATAATGTAGTTATTAATTATGTATTACTCGCTTAACTTATCATTAAGACAATAATAAAAACATTAAATATAAATTTGTGTTATATTTTAATATAGCTCCACGGCAGGGTATTAGTTGTTTTTTCTAATAACTGTCTCTTGTTGTCTTGCCGACTTAATGCTTTTTTTGTTCTTAAAATAGTGTAAACTTCATGTTTCTCTCTAACTATATGACATTCATTTTTTTCAAATATTTTATAATTTAATAAAGATTCTTCATACTGATCAAACGTGATAGTGTTCATCGTCGCCTTTCTCACGCCTTTGGCTTTTTCTCCACACCTTTGTCGTTTTTTTGATCCTTTTCATTTTGAACCTTATAACTATACATTCTTGCTTTAAACCCAATAAATTCAGTCATAATTTTTCCATCATTTTCATCCTTCATTAAACCGAGGACTTTCTTATTAACTAATGGAATTCCATAAACATTATTTTCAGGATAATCAGAAGTGTCATTCTTCTGAATGTCGCGTTTAATATAATCATATATGTTTACATTAGTAAAATGATAGATTAAGCTATCTGTATCTTTATGTAATAATTCAACATTGTTTTCAAAAGTTTTTATAATATAATTATGATGAAAATCATAAATAAATATTTTTGACAAATCAAGGATCGCAAATCCAACATAAATTGGTTTATTAAACAGTATTTAGTTATGAAACTTAGGTTGAGATATCAAAGTTTGTGCTCTATATCTTCCCGCCCACTTTGTAATTAATTTTATATTTTTATGATTGCGTACATTTTCCATTGTTTTTCCGTAAACAGCATTATTCATTAGTTTAAAAAAGTTCTTCTCAAAGTCATTTTCTCATGTTTGTATTCAAATCTACGTATTTTTTTATCCAAGCTGACTGTTCAAACTGTAGAACTCTATGAATTTTAGTCATTTCAAGGCAAGCTCAATACATTGTTGTGAATTTCTGTAAACTATAACATACTCATTTTTTGATAATAATGTAGTCATTCGTTCCTATATTTGCTATCTGGTGGTTGCTAATGTTCAGGGCATAATGGTAAATCTTTATCGTGCTCATGCAATGATTGTGAAAAATCTAAGTCCACTTTAAAAATATAACCGGTAGGAGAATCTTTGGAAATATTCAAATAAAATCATTGACATTATCTAAATCAAACTTTTTAGTCATCTATCTAAAAGAACCAGTGAGCAAGTATTGACTCATTGCTGCACCGTAAAGATTACTTACATCAAAATACATTAGATATGCTTCATCTTCGTTTTGATCAAAGTTATTTATCATATACTTACTATTAGCTTTAGCATATCTATTGCAACATTGAAATAAACCTCCTCTAATACCTTTTTCTATGAAACCCAACGTCTCAACGTCTTGTAACGGATCAAGTTTGATTCCTGCATATTTTAACGTAGCATCGAAAGCTAGACCTGGTGCTGTTAAGTAACGTAAAGGATCTAGGTTATAAGCAGCTAAACAATTTATGCGAAAATTTTCAAAATTATCAGCTAAAAGTAAAACATCAGTTTTTAAATATGAATCTGAATAATCGCTAGAGTTTCAAGCTGAAACTTATTCCAAACATTGAGTGCATGCTGATAGTCTTTATCTGATATGCTTGCATCATTTAACTTCAGAATAAACTGAAGATTGCGCAAGAAGTTGGGTTTCATTAAGTTTATCCCAGTTATCGGTATATTCATATGGGAAAATACCTTTTCGTACGACCAATTTAAATTCTTCGGGATGTTTATAAAACTTTTTGGTAATATTTTTTTTATCATCATCTGAAAATGATGCTAATTCATCAATACTGCTAGTTATGAATCTGAAAGAATCTATGAATTGTAATTTAATTGGTATTCTACAAGTTCTTTTTATGTTAATATTATATTCTACTTTACCAACAGTTTTTGTAAAAGTTATGTATTTTTCTTTATTAATTGGCAATAAATCTATTGTTATGTAATTTTGCTCTTTAAAGGTGTCAATATGTGAATCATATGCTTAACCTTAAAGACTTCAAGTTCCTCTTTTTAGTCCTAGCCTTTCGACCAATAGACAGAGATGAGGGCATCTTCAATAGAGGAAGTGAAAATGTGTGATTTATGTAAAAACAATAACAAAATTTCATTGAATGATAACTATTGAAAAGTTATAACGACAATTTAAACTTTACCAACAGATGATTTCTTTTAGTCTGGTCAAGATGAATTATAATTAATTGATCCTTAGTCGATGCTCCAGTCAGCGTAATTATTTACTTTTACTCGCGAATTAAATTAAATATCAATTTAAAAATAATTTGACGATCAAATAAACTTCATACAAAAATTTACAAACTTTGAAATATTATCAATACAATATTCAAGACAAAACAAGACTCACGATTTCAAGAGATGTTCTACGACGATCTAATATCGATTTACTTTTTCGACAACTGACTGATGCATCAAACCTTACATATTTATTCAGTCGAATGTGACATAATTAAAAGTCCCTTGCTTTAGGCGCGCACAAGTCCCTTCGCATAGTATTTCCTTTTTTGGAAAGCTAACGCTCTCTTTACGTCACGTACTCTTTTTTTAAAAATTTTATTGCTTTTCGCCACGTGGGTTTTCCAAAAGCAATAAAATATCTAAAAAATGATTTTCTCAACTATCCTTCGAAATCCTTTGTATTGCAACGAAATCTTAGGAAAATCAAAAAATAACTTGAGTTATAATCGTTAACCTCAATCCTTAAGTTTTATTGCTATTCATTTTTAGCTTCTCTTAAAATATACTTTAAATAATTATGTGAAATAGATAGAATACATTCAGACATTACACTATTTTTCCTTCGAATGATGTTGCTGCTAATCCTTAATTAAAAAATGAGAATCACACGCCGAAGGATTGTGGAAAACTATTGGAATGATATGGGGAGACTGATAATTCAAATTCCATCGGTTGTGAGCTGGACCGCGATAATTTCCGGTAAAGTGGCAATGATCACGAATTTTGGATTCACCATGTAAAAAAATTCCATTACAAATATAATATCTTCTAGCTTGTTGATGAGCTTTTTGCTGACGTAAAGTTATGGTTTCATTGGCACTACATGTTTGATAGTGTCTTTTACATGTTCTAGTAATTCTTTTAATTATCCAATGTACTAATCAATGCAATTAATTCCAAATTTCAAAGAAAAATGAGATTTTGACTCATCATAAGTGCATTGAGAATAGAAAGCAACGCTACATGGAATGTGTTTCTGCTTAGTATTATCTGGTTCAAGTATACATTCCAGATCAGGATATACAACGAATGGAACTTGTTCCTTATATACCATCAACAAATGTATGTATTTTTCATGATGACATTTACTTAAATATAATCATTATTATTTAATCCATAAACATTTATTGAAATATATAGAGGAATGAATTTACTTTCTTTTTATTATTTTAATTACATAATAAATTTATTTTTGCATCTTTTTTATAAACTCAAATTAAACATGTTTTATTTTAAGTTTGTATCAAATTTTAAGTACATGTTTTTTATTTTATAATTTATATATAATAAGTTTTTGAAATAAAAATTGATTGAAATGATCAATATGTCATCTTTTTTCAGTATTATTTATTATTGAAAATTTTGGTTTTGATAAAAAAGTAGAACAAACTTTAAGAAACGTTTTCCAGTGGACGTCTGTGTGTGTGCTTGTACGTAAGTGCGTGAGTGCGTATGTACGTAATTATGTAACTTAAAATTGATTAGATTTTCAGCAAAATGGAAAATGACCTGAATTTCTCAATTCATAAATTATACCATTTTTTAGACAAAATTTCGAAATCTTCAAAAAAATATGAATATTAAATGATTAGAATACTCGGATAAAAATATGGTGACAATATTTTATCGAAAAAAAAATTTTAAGAAACAAAATCAGCAATGAAAGAATTTTAAACTCGTGTCAGGATTGAGAAAACAGCATTGAAAACGCTATAATAGTCAATAATAATTGTCAATAATATGGAATTGTGTTCATAATAATTGAACATTGTTACTAACAAGTGATTATTGATGATAGTAACATTTAAATAATAAGTTTTAAATTGTTATAAACAATAAAAATAGGGATCTATTCTATATATATGAGTACTTTTAACGCATAATTTTTTCCTCTACCAAAAAAATGTTACCAACCGTATGACATAAATGAAAACATACTTTTTTCG